TTATCTAGGTCAACACGACCTGGCTCATGATACTGTCATTACAACTACTTCACAGAAATGACAAACTAAAAGACAAAAGAAAGTAATTGTAAAATTGTTGCTACAGGTGTGAACCCAACCAAAAAATATTTGCCAAAACGCAACATGGTCCCCGAAAGAATCGTGCATTTTCAAAACGTGAAAAAGGAGAGACAGGGCGATCATGGCCAATATGGGGCTTCACAACGTCAGGACTTGCAAGAACTTTCAACTGCAGTCAGACCACCATCGGCAAACTCATAAGCCGCTACCAGCAAACAGGCCAGGCCCGCGACACCGGCCTAAGACCGCTACATCCGACAGATCCAACTCTGGAACAGCGTCAACGGCGGCGACAGCTCTACGAACACGCCAACAGCAGACGCAGTCCTTCGACGACTAGGTGTGGCTGGTATACGAGCCTACCGACCCTTCCGTGGAATGGCCTTGAAATGGAGAGAGTGCTATTTACAGACGAAAGTTGGTTCTGTCTGTTCAGAAACGATGGCAGAGTTCGAGTTTTCCGACAGTAGAGGATAGCGACTGGCGCCAAACTGCGTTCAAGAAGTTCATCCGTTCGATGGAGGAGGCGTCATGTAATGGGGCGGCATTTGTGGACAGAGAACAACTATACTGGTTATCATCCGAGGAAATCTGAATAACCAGCGATACAGGGATGAAGTGTTGAGACTCGATGTGGTGCCCTTTATTCGACAACAGTCAAGAGAAGTCATTTTGCAGCACGACAACGCTAGGCGTCACAACGCCAGAATTATTCGAGAATACCCGCACAACGTTAACGTCAACGTATTGCCTTGGCCAACGCGTTCTCCAGACATGAACCCCATTGAACATCTCTGGGATCATCTTGATTGTAAGCTGAGACAGCGTGTACCACCTCCAACGAATCGACAGGAAATTGAACTCTTGACTCTTTTGGACTTATGGAACAGGAGACGTGTGTTGGCGTGTATGGATGCCCAGGGTGGTCACACTCGCTACTGATGACGTGTCCCCTGACTCCTGTCTCAGTATGTTACTCTTTTCTTTGAATGAACTCTGATTTGTGTATTTTTAGATTTGACCCCTTGAGTCTTTCTTAATGAATTGCGGCAAGTCCAAGAGCAGCATTACAATGAATTTTCAGTCCAGTTATCGGAGAATGATTACTGTTTGTAACATATATTTATCGTAAATCCCACATACGACTTTGTTTCTAACTTTTGGTCAAGTGAAGTCGGTGATAACTTTTTCCCGTTAGTATATTGTTACCAATCCTCTTTCAAAGAATATCTGTGATTGCATCAACATCTGTCAAGTGACTATGTATTCTGGATTAATCTAAGTGATAAACACATACCTGGTCATGTTGCTGTAGACAGCCGACTGATCCTGACACGCTAGCCGGGCATTATATATCTGTAGATCTCATTTAACCCCTTTACCGCTAAACCATGACACAAGGGCTTAGTGCAACCAGCATATGACAGACAATGCCGTTCCCAGTGAACTTGCCTTCGTTAATAAATTTACAGAGAATGAGAAAAGAAATATTTGTTGTGTTTGTATAATTATGTTTTTAATTGATATGTTCATGAGTTTCTGCGGGTGCAAATATCAACGCTTTTCATGACATATTTAGGTCTTTTGAAAACCGAGCGTAGTATTTGTTATGTACTTTGAACATTTTGTGAAACGGTGTCTTGATAGTTTGGTAAACAAAGAGGCTGAAAATATGTCAAATCAAGGTGATATTCTGTTCGTATTCAGAAGTAAAACCTATCATACGTTTGTTTCAGGTATTCTTGCTTCAGACCTAAATCACACTTCCACATCTCCAATCTCACCATGTCCACAGTGTGTTAATCAATGATTTACAAACCCACGTAAATGACTTGGAATTACGCTGCTTAACAAACAAACAAACAAACAAAAATATAACAAATGTTTACAACGTATTAAGAGTTAAAGAGTTGATACATATATTGACAGACCAAGATGTACACTGTATGTTTACCTATCTGCAGGGCAAACAGAAATTAAATATGCCCGTAGAGTCAGAAATAAAAATCTCATTTTTATGAGATTTTTATTTCTGAGTCTCCGGGCAAATGTAATTTCTGTCAAAGACACAATACATGTAATACGACAGTGCGGAAATTATAAATGTCTTCCTCAAATGATCTGGAATTCCAACTGTGTTTGTAAAGAAAATAAAAAAAATTCCCCGTTGACTAGATGAAAAAGAGCAACTGCCTATACACTCATAGACAACCAAGTGATCATTTCTTCTGTCCCTCGCCATGATATTGCTGGAATATTGCTAAAAACGGCGTAAAACGTAACTCACTCACTCACTCAAACAGGATAAACATAAAATGAATGAATGAATGAATGAATGAATGAATGACCAAAATATATTCAATCTGGTATTTGTAAGTCTGAGTATCGATCCACAAAGCCTTCGTAAGTCAATGGCGAACTGTAGAGTTACGACAGGTCGTAACGTTACGAATGCGTTGTGGATCAGGACTCTGGTTTGCAATTCTAAAGCAAACCCAACCGAGTAAACACTCAGGAGATGCAGTGATAGGACACTTGGACAAATTCGGACAGATGTATTTCACCGTCGATATCCCTGCATCCGTTATTGTGTATCTGTAAACGTATCGCATCGCACCACCGGATGTCCTCCAATATCCCTGATAGGATATATTAATAACTGCAACCTGAGCCAGTACCAGTTATACTGATGAAGCACCGAAGCTGCAGTGGATGTATCGCTTTCCGTTTATATATTAACCCAAGATGCTTCGCTCAAAGATCAAAGGCGCCGGCTGTAAAGTAGCCTACACATTTTTTTCATAATGAAATACTTCCTCTTGTAATCTGCTGTTTGCGATGGGAGTACGACTATAATACAACTGAATAGGGTTTGCGCCTCTTTCAAAATAGTTTTCATATCGGACACCAAGAATGGACTTTCAAGAACAGAACAACCATTCCGGTGTGACAAGCGAGATCTTTAACCACTGTGCTAGCACTGCTTCTCAAACCAATTGTATCATGCTTACACAATGCCACAACGCCATTTAGTTTCATCATTTTGATAAATGCCATTTAGAAAGTGAAGAATGATGACAATTTGTATAGATATGCAACTTCTTTTATTCTGTGAAAGGCGACGCTTGGACACAGATTCTAATGTCGTTGTCAAGCAAGTGATAAGACAAAGACATTAGTATCTATGTCGAAACGTCGCCTTTCACAGAATAAAGGAAGTTGTATATCCATAAAGATTGTCATCATTCTCCATCACCTCAACGTCAAAGAGATTTAGAAAGTGGTCAAATGTAACAAATGTCTTATCAGTTTTTGCAGGGTGGGATTACCAAATGTACTTTCAGGGATCAGTCTGTTAAAACATCAGTTATAATTCTCTGCTTTTCTCACGAACGTTGAATAGCTGAGCATCTAGGTGATTATTTAACCATCTCCTCAGCTCTGTGATTGGCAACGAAGCTGTTCCAAGTGTACGCTTGAACAGGAGGGATGGCCATAGGGATTTAACCGCCTAGCAGAACGTACCTCTCCAATACTCTGACCTGGTTTGTTATAATTACATATTTGCTATTGAATCGTTGGTTTGTCTCACCTTTTTGAGTGGCATTATAGAAATTGAAACATACAACATAGAACAAACTTTTATGAATGACATAAAGAAGTTGTCATCCATAAAAGTTTGTTCTATATTGTCTCCCTTTGCTACAACAGGTTCTTGCATTTATCTTCACCATAAAGCAAGAAGCCAATACGTGATGCTACTTGTCTACAGGCCTACCATCCACTCTTACAATGTTCGGGCAGTAAAAGGGACAAGATCTACTTGATATGACCTCAGGCTGTGGTGGAGTAGCCAGGAGAATCAGAAAACAGAGTAAGTACACCGTAACAAGGTAATAAACTTCCCTGCGAAAGTAAGTGTACACCCAAAAAAATGAAGAAATAAATCGATGGTGGTGTAACAGTTACGTTGAGTGTAGCTGAAGTTTGACCTGAAAGAATTAGTCAGGAAGTAGCAGTCGTAGTCGTAGTAGTTGTAGTAACTTGTCCGGTTGAGTGGGTGACTCAGATGTTTGAAACACCCGCAGGCTATCCAGACCTCTGATCGTGACGATGATTGGGAGTATAGCGGTGCAAACCGATCAATGTGCAATAAATAAGTTTAACTTAGATTTATGTTTAAGTATACAAATGGGCGGCGAACAGACCTAACCTTCGCCAACAACAAATAAGAAAGATTTTTTTCTGTCCAAAAACTTCCATTTAAATCCAGCACATCTTTTCACTAAGCCCATATCACCAGTATATATATTCAGTATTACCATTAACACAATGTTTTTCACGTTTGGGTATTTTTCACTAGACAAATTATTCAATTTTTCACTACTGACAGTAAACTATTCATTTTAGGTGTACTTCTAAGCAAACAATTTATTCAAAGAATCCTTCCAGCCCTAAAGAAATCAATCGAATTCTCACTAAATCGTATTTTTAATTTGACATTATCTTCTCTGTTTTGCACCACATGCACAATACGTAAGTTCTCAGTTTTAGGTGAAAACATGCTGCATAAAAATCGACCTCATTATGCACAATACGTATCCTGTGTACCCAGTACTTTTCCAGATATATCTTAGGTAGGATAATCATAGGCGGATCCAGGAATTTTCAAAGGGTTCGGACCCCCCTGAACCCGTCTTTGGCTCCACCAATGCAAAACATTCAATTATCTTCAATGTGGTCTTTAGTCATTTTCAAAAAAGTGGGGTCGTACCCCCACCCCACGGATCCGCCAATGCGGATACTCAGTAAGCAGCCGCTGAATCATGTATACAAAATGGGCGCAACACCCAAATACCGGTCGCGTTGCTATACTGCCAAAGGGAAGTAACTCTAAATGCTTCTTGCGTGAGGAGTCTATTATGTGGTAGGAATTCGCACTTGATAGGGCGAGGTACTTGGACTTGATCGTGGTATTAATTCACTCATAAGAACAGAATGAGCCGCAATGCAAACGAAGTTAGTGCCAGGTAAGTTTATTTTTCTATCTACGTTGTATCGTGTGGTTTTATTTGTTTTACAGGGGTGGTTCCGGCTGGTAACCAATGTAAACTATAGCATTTGTCTCCCAGCTGATGGCCGGTGTTAACTCGCATGTAGAAACTTGTTGATTGTCACAACTATGGTGTCAGAAATCAGACTGAAATTAGAAACGACATTATATAGTTGAGGTGCTTCATCTGAGTTATGAACAAAATATAAAGATGTGGATATTTATCAATATATTTGGAAAATGAAGCCTTTTGAATAATTTACGAAGATAGTCAAATTTATCTGTTTGATTGGCATTTGTTTGATTGGTCAAATTTAACTAAAATAAGATATCTGTTTTTGAACAAGACCGGTATCTAAAATCCAATAACTTATCAAGTGGGCGATAACAAGTGGGTGTGGTTACACTGTTGCCAGACTATAAGTATGTATACAGTATGTGTCCTTGCTACACAGTGAAAGGATGAGAACAAAGAAACGAGAGAAATGAGAAAAGAAACCTTATTTTCCCTCACACATGTCCAGAGCTCTAGATAAGATTTAGCTCATGTGGGTACTGTACCCAATGTATTTTTTTGGAGTGGGTATTATGAATGTTAAGTTGGTATTTCATTTTCCGTTACCCACTGCTTTCAAATATGTGCGTATTTCAGTCCTTTTACTCACCTAAGTATTATGTCATTGAGTAAGTTAACTAAGCAGGTATATTCTGCCTTATGTCATACCGAATCAAAACCAACTTAATATAATGAAAATGATTTCATAAAAAATCACTCATCCTGTACTGACAGTACAACACTAGTCCTATACTAACAGTACAACTTGATAGCAATCGATGTCTTTTTCATTATGCAAGCGATTTTTGTAAATATATTCTGTACGCATTTGTTTTAAACTTTTTGTGTATCTAACATTTTAAATGCGTAATTGGTACGCAACAATTATTTTTCAATGCGTAATTGGAAACTTTCTATGCGTATTTTACCCGGATACGCAGCTTATCTGGGCCTCTGCATGTCCACCAAAGAAAACAAGTAGTGGGGAACCAAACTGAGGAATATGTACACACAGAAATAGCCACTCAATGTACAAACAAGACAAGTCCTGGTAATGTCATTATGAGAACCTTCTTAGTGGAACCCAGAACAGTAAACCTTCACGCAGACCAAAATACATCACATGCATGTTGTTTGTTGCAGCCTCCATATTGACATATTGAAATAGTGGCAAGTCGCACTATTGTGCACCCTTACATCCACGTGATTGCATGTTGCTATACCACAGTAATGTAGATGTGAAATCCTTTTTCATCTGGCCAAGAACTCGGCTCTGGGCTGAACTGATAAATGCATTGATAATGGTGCAAGAATTTTTCCCTCGTAGCATTTTGTAGTCTTCATGTATACTGGTATTGGATCCATATGTTTTCAGTAACTCACAATACTGACATATTTGTGTGGTACATTAAGCATTGTACATGGTTCAGTGTCAGTAATGTTTTCTGTTATCGATGTATGTTCTCACCATCCATGTTGAACTAATCGTCATACATTCTCATTGTGGTTTCCAGACAATCTCTGTGAGTATCCATTATTGTGTACACTATACGTGGTACAGGGCACATCTCATGTTGGTGTTGTACGATGCACTATTACTGATATTGTGTCACAGGAGAACATGTTGCAACATTTCATTCGGCATTTGTGTGATCATGTGGGAAAATATGGATGGTCCTCAACTTTGTTTGAGAGTGCTGATTATATATAACAAGTTCCTAAGGAACCATACATACATGATACACTGTCTTTAAATGAGTTACCTGCCTGGTATGATGGAATTAACTGTTTATGATATAGAAATATTTGTGGAATCAATATCATGTGATTCACTACTTTCTGTTTTTATTTGTAAACTGGCACACTCAATGTTTAATTCAACTAGCCCACTTGTCTACTTAGAGATTAGGCTGCAACATGAAAATAGCTGGATACTAGTGAACCCGTGCAGAGCTTGTAACTCTAAGGTCCTGGCTTCCAGAGTTAACTATCCTGCCGTTGGATGATATAAAATGAAGATAAAAATATATATTATTTGATATGATTGTCATGTATTGTTTGTCAGTAAAAATCTTGCTTTTCACTACTGGACTCAATTTTTGATTAGACAAAGTAAGTTCAAAAGTCTATTCTGTTTGTGAAAAGCATGTGACTATAACCTTATAGTGCCTCACAGGCAGCTTGGTTATCTGGGGTAATAATGTGTTAGCACCTTGATCATGCACAAGTGCGTGGAAACTGGTGCTTTGTAAATAGCCTTTATACTTGTTGTATAGTTGACACAACTATAAACCTTTGTCAGATATTGACAGCTTTACATCTAGTTTAAATGCACTGACTTCAGTATGGGAGACGATGTCAGCTATGTTTGATGTATTTAAAACTTTGCAATGACCCTTGTGTTTTGGGTCCCACCTTCATTCATCATGGAGGGGTGGTGGGGTAGCCTAGTGGTTAAAGCGTTCGCTCGTCACGCCGAAGACCGGAGTTCCCCATGTGGGTACAATGTGTGAAGCCCATTTCTGGTGTCCCCTGTCGTGATATTGCCGGAATATTGCTAAAAGCGGCGTAAAACTAAACTTACTCATCCATTCATCATTGAAGGTCAGTCTATGATACACGTTATCCAGGAGACTAGCTCCATCTACCACTTTTCACAATCTATTCAAATCATTATCTTTAGCATATGCATTTATTGCATTTTTAATTCACTCTTTAAAAGATGGATTTTGTTTTACATTCCAAGCTATGGAACAGCTAATCTGTAATCTAATGAAACCGTGTGACTTTATTGTGATTAATATCATTGTATGTCCTTCAACCCGTGTGTTCCTTTACTAACCGAGAGCATCATGATTGCCTTTGCATGTCTATATCTACTCATTAATGTCTGTGTCTGTGGACAATGTCAAACTGACATTCATAACCAGGTGTTTGAATCATTTACTTATACTACTCAAACAAGTTGAGGTTAACTCAATTCCTTTGTATGTAAGTATAGTTAATATACTACTATCTTACCTGTTGTAATGTGAAAACATGGGTGGTCCTTAACTGTTTTTGAGTAGCGTATTATATATAACAAGTTCCAAGGAACCATACATACATGATACACACTGTCTTGCATGAGCTACCTGTCGGTATGATGGAATTAACTGTTTATGATATAGAAATATTTGTGAATCAACATCATGTGAATCACCGCATTCTGTTTTTATTTGTAAAACTGGCACACTAACATTAGCTCAACTGGTGTCTTGTCTACGAGAGATTAGGCTAACATATACCAGCTGATACTGGGTGAACCCAGTGCAGAGCTTGCAGTCTAAGGTCCTTATTTCCAGAGACCATTCAGTTGTTGGATGATATAAAAATGAAGATAAAAATATATATTATTTGATATAATTGTCATGTATTGTTTGTCAGTAAAAGACTTGCTTTTCACTACTGAATTAATTTTTGATTAGACAAAAGGGAATGGAAGTCTATTTTATTCTTTTTGTGAAAGTTTGGTCAGCTGATGAATAAATCAGGTATAATTAAAAGAAAACATGTATCCAAGTTGAGTAGCAGTTTTGATTTCTGAACTTTTAAGTCAGGTGTTTTTGCCTTGCTAGCTCATTTTTATACTGTGACATGTCATTCATTGTATTGTTGTATTGTTGTCTGTTTCAGTGTTGTATTACTTGTATTGCGCTTTAATTATTTAGCAAAATACCTTTGGCACATTTGTATGTTAACCTTTAAATATATGGTTGTAATTATGAAGCTAGCTTTCGTTTATGCTGTTAGTAGTATAGTTTATTTCAATTTGTCATAGTTGAAAGTTGAAAACGTTTTAGATAGTTATGTGTGAATTCTTTCTGTTTTATTATTTACAGTCAATATGTTAGTACAGCTAGACATGTCCAAAAGAATAGGAATAATACATTATTTTTGAAGAATAACCTAAGAAGAATATACATTGTGAAACCAAGATGTTGATGCTTAGTAACTTATATAATGGTCCAAATCATTATGTAATGGTCCACCCTGATGTACCAGTGAAGATCCGGGTTAGGATTGGTCTTCAGCAACTCATGATGCTTGTCTGGAGATATTCCTTCCTGCCTCAGAGTTTCACAAGATTAGTTTTGGAGTCGTTCTAGTTTTTCTTATTAGCTAATTCTTTTGTCATTTGACTTGGATTCACTTGTTGCATTTCAGCGAAATGATTTAAGTTTTCTTGGATTAGATAATTTAAACAAGACCCCAAATGTAGCAATTGTGAAAGTGAAAATGTTGTTTTGGGCACCTATAAAGTATTCAAGGTAATGAATAAAACCTTGGCAGCCGGTAAATTATTGATGACCTGACTTCACCTGACTGACCTTGACCTTTCAGTGAGAAGCAGTCCAAGTTCTGTATGGCCCGTGTGGATAGTGTCCAGAAGAACTTCGGTCTCATCTGTGACACCATAGGGTCAATCACACGCAAAAATGCTCGGCTCAGGAACAAAGGTATGATAGAGACTGTCATGTAAGTTGTTTTTTTTCACTCAGCAGTGTTCAAACAATGCGACTGGGAGATGGGGCCGTAAGTTGCTGTGGACCAGACCACCCTGTGAGAGTGATAATGGTCAGTGGTCAACACTGACACTATACAATATATGTCAGACTAACCAGTGACTTCTTGTGAGTAGCAGTCAATACAAACTCACAGGGGTATGATTCAGGTAGCTTTAAATTACATCATGTCCAAACTGATCATATACAGGTGCGGGTGTGGGCGCGGGGATAGGTATGGGCATGGGCGTGGGTGCGGGCGTGGGCGTGGGTGTGGGCGTGGGCGTAGGTGGTCATTATTTCAACACAAATACAGCCATTGTACACTGTCTAAGACCATACTTTGTTTCCTAACACCCGGACAGTCATTGAAAGATACAGTACCATACATAAAGGAGTTTCTGGACTATTTTTGATAACTTTAATACCTATGCAGCTGAAGTAAACACTTGCTTTGTATCCAATTGTTTCTAAACTATATATACATGATATATATGAACACTGATACAGGGTAATCTGTAAATAGTTGCTCAGCGTCCAGTCAGATGATGATCCCGCTGTTTGTGTTCTACAGGTGACGTCCTGGCAGGTCACATCAAGAACTATGCAGATGGAGAACGACTCAACAGTTCTTCCAAGAAAGCCCTTACACACTTTGCTGAAAACTACTCCACTATACAAGACTACAAGAACTCTGAGGTAACCATGGTTACAAGGAATCACTTTCTTGAAACGGCAATACATTCTGGATGATTTCACAATTTGAAGACAAATTGGGCAGAATTGATTAAAATTACCTGAAATAATAGCTTTTAATAAAATGCACGATTTTTTTTCTCTGGGCTGAAACGTCTCTTCTTTACGTATTTCTGTTCAGGTTGGAAGGGGTTAAAGCGATACTGAAAACAGATGATGATTGTGTCATCCAGGAGTTATTTTACCTTTTGTTGATGTGGCACATGAGATGTTGATCCCTGTGTTCCCTGTGTATGATACTGTGACTGCTGTTACATCACCACAGGTGCTCCTGTGAAGATCTGGAGTGAGTGAATATTGAAGCAATATTGCTTAATCCAGTGTTAAAACAAATAAACTGCAGGGTGTAGAATGTCTGATGACGTTGCCATGTTGTAGGTCCACAGGATGGAGGCTAAGGTGCTACAACCCATCATGCAGTATGGCGCCAGGTGTAAACAGATGAAGGTAGGTGACACTATTGGTCACTCTGTCTCCATATTTTGACTAACTAAAGGTGAGGTGACTCCAAATTGGGTTTAACGTCGTGCTTGAGAATATTTCGCTCATATGCAGACGTGCATGCGTGTGTATGTGTATGTGTGGCTGCTTGTACTAGCCCAGACTGAAGCTGGTTATATAGTGCTAGCCCACTGAGATACCATGCCGCAGTGAAGAGTGAATACCCCACTCAGACACATTATACTGACTCCGAGCCGACCAGTCCTTGTTGTACCCATTAATGCCGAGCGCCAGGCAGGGACCAACAAGTATCATATTTTAACGTCTTTTGGTATGACGCGGTTGGTCCAGTAACTAAAGACAATCGTAGCACCAAAGTGTTCCATAGAATTGTGGATATATATATATCTCACACAATACTCTGGCTCTTGCTGCAAGTCTCATGTTTGCACTAATACTTCGTCAGTGGTTCTTCATAAGATATCAAATACAGTTGCAAAATTGCTTTAAACATATGAAAACACTATCCAGTCAGCATGGTATTTTCTGTTGCTAGGCAACTGTGAAGCGTGAGATTTCAGCGTTGAAGAAGGAGAGGCAGACGAGACAGAAGCTGGATAAGGTCCGACAGAAGAATCCTGGAGATCGGCACCAGATTGTATCCTTTTAGGGAAATACTGGAAGTTGTTCCCATAGAAGTTGTGTAACCAGGAACAGGAAATACGATTTCCAGTTTGATGACTGCGATGAACTGTTAACCTTAGTGCGTGACTGAATGAGTGAGTGAGTGAGGTGGATAGTGGATACTAAACAGTGAAAAAACATGAAATTAAGCAACATAACTCTCAAGCTTGTACTGATGAAAGATTGTTGTTAGTTTGTCTTCCTTAACCCTCCCAAGACAAGGGTGAGCATCACGTGATTCTAGGGCCTGTTGGAGGCCAGATGTCTGAAACAACACATTTGTGTGCAGCACAGGTGTCTAAACACCTGTTGGATGCAGACCAGGTGTCTGGAACAACACATTTGGGTGCAGCGCAGGTGTCTAAACACCTGTTGGATGCAGGCCAGGTGTCCAAATAACACATTTGGGTGCATTGTAGGGTCAGGTGTCTAAATAAACATTGGACAGGGATCTAAACACCTGTTGGAGGCCAGGCCAGGTGTCTGGAACAACACATTTGTGTGCAGCGCAGGTGTCTAAACACCTGTTGGATGCAGGCCAGGTGTATGGAACAACAAAGGGCAGGTAAACACCTGTTGGAGGCCAGGGTGCGGGACAGGGATCTAAACACCTGTTGGAGGCCAGGCCAGGTGTATAGAACAACATTGATGGGGTGCAGGGCAGGTGTCTAAACACCTCCTGTTGGAATGTGTGTTCTGGTTTCTTGTGAAACATGCTAAACATCTGTACATCTTTCATGTATTAGATATGGGCAGGGTGTAGTTAGGAGGGAGAGAGTGGTGCGAGTTACCCTGGTTCAGTGGTTTATGCATATCTGTTGTTCCCTAGGCTGAGACTGAGGTACAGCGAGCAAGTCAAGATGCCTCAATCTACAGCCGGGCCCTGGAAGATGAGATGGACAGATTTGAGAAAGAGAAGGTGACTGATTTAAAGGTAAGTCCTTGAGTTATAAGTGCAATGTAACAACTATGAGGAGTAGGCCACAATCCCCTGCACCTTCTCTGTTTTGAAGATAACCCCGGTCTGGTTCTGACTGTCCCTGTACATTGAAACATTCACTGGTCTGACACTGAATGGTTTCTGTAGGAGGGGGAAACTCTATGGAACGGTCCCTAACTTGTGCAGTGGCAAGTTCAGTTCTGAAATCATTGTCTGGCAGAAGCACAGCGAGCTATCACAGCATAACAAATTCTTTTTCTTTTTCAAAATAAAAACTTGGTTCGTCTATGAATCCACAGAATAAACTGGCCTGATCTGCCTTGTTGCTGAACACCGTGGTCACAAATACCAGACTGGGTGGGTTTGAATTATGCTGATTTCTTATAGAAAATTCCAACTGTGGGAATGTCTGGCAGATCTTGGATAAGCTAATCTCTAAACCAATTAAAAGATTACCTTGGCATAAAAGCTTTCTTTTTCATTTATTTTTAGAAAGTGTTGACGGAATACCTGAACATTGAGATGACGTTCCATGCCCGTGCCTTGGAGAATCTCGCAAAGTGTTTCGAAAATGTTACCATGATAGACGAGTTTTCTGATGTTGAGGTAAGCATATGTAGCTGTACACACATTCATAAATATGCTACAATTATTCCATCTTTGTGTCAGAAAATGTTCTTGGACAATATTGGTGGAAGTTCACAGTGGGGAAATGGCGGCGGTCTGTAAATAATTGAGTCTGGACAAGACAATCCAGTGATCAAGAGGATGAGCAATGATCTATGCGAATAGGATGTGTCAACCAAATCAGCTAGCCTGACCACCCAAGCCTGTAAGTTGCCTCATACGACTTGGCTTGCTGTAGTTTGAGATATAACCCTACATTATTATAAGCCACTTGTGCCGTATATATTGGCAAGGGTAGGCTAGAATTACAACATGAACCATGACTTTGGAATATGTTCTCACTCCTCCAGGTGGATGTAAGTTATGAAGCTGATAGCAATGTATGAACAGGTGAAAATGACTGCAAGCACACAGCAAATCATGCTTGTTATTGTCACAAGGGGCAGGTTTATGATCATCATTGGGGATTATGTGTTTTCTCATTATCAAGACAATAGATGTTACATGAAGAAAAAGGTTCCAATGTATAATCTAGTACTATCGATTTCACAGGAGTTCCGAACAGCATTGATGGATACAACTGGCTCCAGTCGACAGTTGGGAACAATGAGCTCTCGCGGTGTCTCGGACACACTGGGTAGTGGCACGCTGCCGTCAATGGGGTCGACATACTCAGACAGACAACAGTCTGTACGGATCGCAAGTGTAAGTGGATAAATCATGTCTGATGTGAGTCAAGATCTGAAACAGATGGGGTGAATACTACTCAGTATACTGGTTGAAAATTGGGGGAAAGGGGGAAATGGTGCGTATGTGTGTGCATATACATCCACTCCTGCTCTGCTATTCAACACTAGCCAGTGTTTTTGCAGCACTGGTGAGATATCATTGTTTGTTTGTTGTTTAACTCCACACTCAGCAATATTCCAGCAACATAGCGGTCTGAAAATAATTGAGTCTGGACCAGACAATCAAATGATCAGCATTATGAGAATCGATCAATGCATTTTGGATACAGTGACAAGTGTCAACCAAGTCAGCAAGTCGATCCTCTCGCTCTTGCAGCAGACCAGATCTAACCGGATCTTCTCAGGTTTTAGAGACATGATACTTGTACATGACAGTGACATATTTACCAGGACTGTTTTTGTTGAAGCTATGTAGTATACTTAGTAATCAAGGAACAGCATCAGAGTGAATCTTGAATTCTAATTCCATGATCAGATGGTCTTGGGACACTGAGGGTCTCCGAATCCATTCTGCATTTCCATCTGTTTGACTTTCATCACTGGACATTTGAATGATATATACATAGTAGACATAGAGTTATATTTCAACTAGGTGGTACATTTCAGGCACAGTGCTCTTGTATACAGTTAATTGCTGTGGTGTGTTGCTCATTAGTGTAAGATGATCAAAATGGGGAAAAGATTTTATTGGCAAATTCATTGTAATGGTAAGTTGATCATAATGATTTTAATTGAACATTAGTTTAAGTTATTGTAAGTTCATTGTGATCATGGTAATGGAAAGTTGATCATTGTTGTAAGTTGAACAAATATCCTGTCTCCAATAAAACCCATTGGTTTCCAGTGTGGGAAGTTGATCAGCCTGGGAAGGGAAGTAACTCTTTGCCTTGCCATTTAAAAGGTTGTCTCCATGGACACTTTTGGTATATCAGAGACCATATTATTATATGGTCTCTGGGTATATGTACATCCATCTGATGATTCCTGATCTTCCATGGATCAATGGGAATGATGATGTTTCACAAAATCTATCTACATGTAGCAGGGTGTGTAGTCATCCCACAGGTGACATCCTTACCTTGTCAGCTTGCTGACAGGGTTAACCTCTTTGGTCATGTCCGACTTCGGATCAGAAGGTCTGTGGTTCGAATCCCAGCATGGGACTTGGACATTTTATGGCTGCTACATACAGTTTATGTCAGTGTTTTGAAAAAAATATATGTCCATAAACTGGGGATTTAATAAAGCTTATCAATACAACATTGCCGTGGCAGGAGGCTGATAGACTTGATGATGTGGAGTCCTTCTTCATCTAGCCTCAGAGTGAGTACTGTCGGCTGAATGCTAGGCTAGATGGGAGGGTGTGTGTTGCTCAGCCAAGACATGTAAAGTCTGTCAAAAACTTCTCGACCAAACCTTTTTCATGGTGTAAAGACTATTGGTAATCTATTATCTTGGTAATATGCCAAATGAATATATTGTACATATGTGTGTAGATTCTGTTATTTTATTTGCTGTGAGATTGTTTGGGTCAATCAAGTTTTGGGAAGACATATATGCTATTGGTGTTTTAATTGCCGGTGTTTAGTTGTTGTACACTACATGTATGTATGTAGCCAGGGGAAGCTTGCTGCTCTTAATGGAGGTTGCAATGGCCAGAGAATATTTGATCAATTATCATTGGAAAGTTAATTAATTTTATTTGATATTTGTTGCATAATTTTTTTAAATCCATGAAATATGGATCAAAATAATACTAATTATATTTAACCTGTCATATTTTATTTTCTGATAATGCATTGTGGATGCAGGTGATTAAGTCAGTAAACCCAGAATATAAGCTCAAGGGATCTATACTCAAACAGCCTTTGATTTGATGTGGCTAGTTGTTAGGAAAATATAATATTATCACTTCACTGTTGTATCACATACTGCTTGAAAAATGATTAGGACCACCCTGTTCTTTCACAGTACTATACTTAATCATTATGACAGATTAATTATAGTAAAGTGTAAAATTCTGGAAAGTCCTGACTGTTTTCAAGCAGTATAAATTGAGTGCTGCTGTTGATTAATATGCAATATATACATACCTGCTTTGTGTTGCTACATACATGTCATGATGTGCTGGACTAGATGAACATGTGAATACACATACCTACTTCATCTGCTACTTAATCACATTGACAGTTGTCCTAAATACAAAAATGTCCCTTCACATCTATATACATCACATGAGAGGACAGTAGTGTTTGTCAATGAGCTCATGTGCTGATGACTTTACGATAAAATCCTGCAGAATGCTGTAATTAAGAGTCAAGTTCAGAAGTTTAACACGTTAGCGGCCTATCACGAGTATACTCATGTTATCAATCTAAGAGAAATTTGCCACTACAAGTTATCTCGTAGCTACATATGGTATTTTAAAACAAATTTCTCATGTTGGCAAAATAGCCACAAGAAGCAATCTTCTCCTGGCAGTAACAAAGAACCTAGATTGATAACACGAGTATACTCGTGATAGGCAGTCAGTGTGTTAATGTCAAATTATAAAGTTATGGATTTTGTGTTAATGTTTCTGTAAACTATGCCATACCCACTCACAGACAGGGTCCTCACTGGCACTGGTAGACTGGGCTATAGCTGCTCTAAATGATGTCCCTCATCTCGTACTGTTGTCTTCTTAAGTTTTAGTGTTAATGATAAATTTAGCAAATTTTTCCTTATCCTGACTCATGCTCTTTGCTTGTCTTCTTCTTCTTGCAATAACATAGTGGAACACTTGTATCTCCTTATTTGAAGCTCCCTTCAAAATAAAATCACTAATTGGTACTCACCACGAGTTGCTCCCCTTTGTTCTCCCCTGGCGGGAAAGGTGTCGCATACACCCTCTGGCCATGTGCTCCACTCTCTCCTTCTTCAGCCCAGTGAGCAGGATGTGAGAGCTACCTCGTGTCTCCTTACACACCATATCCTTTGATAATTTCTTAGTTTTTACCTCTCTTAGGTTACTATAGAGGTATAGCTGAGTATCCTTTACTAATTTGTATTGATTATTTATCGTATTTCTACTGTTTTATTCACGTGTATTCGTGGATTGTTCAGCTAGCTTTACGCTGATGAAAAATCTGTACTATTTGTAGATTACGCTTTTCCGCCGGATCCGCATGTAATATGCCCTAGTTGTGCTACGCCATCATGCGCTTTGATTCACGCTGCAGTTACTGCATTAATCTATCTCATTCTGCATTTAATAAATATCATCTTTAAGCGCCTTAAGACGTGCTGCAGATAGGTCAATGCAAACAAGGCAAAACATGGCAGATAGTCCAGATATTCCATCCAGTCAGCTGCTAGCGATCGACCCTCTCCCGCCTGGTGTGCTGCTAGAGACCCCTGCGGTAGGAGGAACGGGACGCAGTCCGTTACCTCAAGAAACGACCGGCCTCCCCAGACATCCCCAGACCAAGTCTAAGAGGGCCTCAACGTCTTCTCAACGCAGACTTAGGACCCCCAGGGCAGCGCAGACTTCCAAAGGGAAATCTACGAAGACAGCCAGAACTTTCTCAGCCGAGATCGCTTCCAGCAGCAGAATTGGGCCTCTACGATGATCAGCCGATAATCATCCCCTCGACTTACGGCACAAGCTAGCGACCGGTGTCAGCGACTGTGACTTCTGCAGAGAACACCATGCAGCCTGATGCCTCTACACTGACGTTCGAACGCTATTGATGTGGACCCCATCGCGAGAAGATTTCCGGCGACTTTCGGGCACAGATCATCCCAGAAGACATGATGCGAAAATTATGAACATCATGGAGGACCACTATAAACTGCAGAAGCAGGGTCCGGAAGCCAGCGAAGGCTCCAACGTAGACAGCACCCCAGAGGCACCCCTGTCAACGAGCAGCCAAGACGATGTCACCTTTCGCTGGAAGAAGTCCCGGACCACCTTTTGACGGACCTAGATGTACAGCCTTCGCGAAGGCCTTCGGCTAAGGCGGACAGATCATCACCATCTTCGATTTCATCCCTAGATATGGACTCGGACCATCAGACGTCACAGAGGCCTTCGCGGAAGGGTCATATCATCGATCCCTCCGACCGACGAAATGAAGCAAATGACATATGATTCCAGATCTTCATCATCTAGAAGGACATCGAGGGACTATAGAAGAGCCGCGCTGCTATCAACGTTCACCTCACAAGTCTCTAAGAAAATCATCCCATAGACGATCTCCACTTCGTTTCATCACCATGTCGATCACCCGCCAGATCTCCACATAGGCGGCGCACAAGTCAACTAGATCGCCACAAGCCTCATCGGACATACAGACAGCTACGCGAGTCCCTCAAGAGCATCTACAATTCGTTAATGATGATGGTATTGAGGATGATGGAGGAATCATTTTCTCCGATGCAGAATACGGCATTGGATGGTCAATAACCTAGATCTTTCATCACCATCTAAAAGTGGCAATACAGCCGCAGACGATTTGATGAAGGAAGACGATCCAGATCACGATCACTCTACCTCGATTGATCCGATCACGGCAGTGCCACAGAATCTAGATGCAGCTTTCCAGAAAGCTACGAAAGTTCAGACACCACATCTACCCAACTTTCATGCCAAGAAGTTCTCCACGATAACATGGACTGTTTCTACAAAGCCCAGGACATCGATGAGAACTATAAGATCATCAGCGATGTCAAGAACAAGATTTATAAGATCGCAAGTTGGCTCATATAGAAACCATGACGAGACGTATGTTCTTTGGGTTAAATAGATCTAGGACGATCAATGAGACTCTTATCACTAGATTCCGGGATTCCACGACGGAAGATGATAGAATGATTTATTCTGCCTTACTTATGCAAAAGAAAGATCAGCAGTTTTTAACGGATCATCTTACATCTGTTTCAGCAGCACTGACCTTTAGCTCGCCGTCAAGGCCT